TCCTATCTTGGCTGGGGAGAAGAACTTTGTGCAGAACGTGTGTGCCAGCTCATTCCATGTAGTGATACTTGCAACCGGGAGTGAATCCAACCATTCAAGTACTCTGTCTCGTAACGTATGTAGAAAAAGCCTCAACCTAATAGCGTCATCCGAAATCTCTTGGTATCTGAAATGTTGACACATATCCAGAAATCGAGATACGTGTGTGTGTGGGTTCTCCTCAACCTTGCCATAGAATTGGTGTCCATTTTGAAACAACTGTATCACATTGGTCTTCAACTGAAAATTAGGTTGCCCAAACGGTGGATACGCTATGCTGGACTGGCTTTGAATCATTTGAGGAGTCAAGAAATCTCCCAGAATCTCATTCTCCTCGTCCATTGCCTCTCTTTCGTGAGCATGAATCATGAGATTGTTTAATTCGTTGGCCATTTGTACTTGTACTTCGCGGTGATCTCTTTGTCGTCGATGAAAGGTGCGCTCAATTTTAGGATCAACTGGAATCAATTCTCCTTCAGGCAATCGTGACATGCAAATCTGAGAATTAAAACCAGTACGAGCACTGAGATTAAAACAATTTAATTAACTAAAACACAAATAGAGGATAATAAACTAAAATAAAAATAAAAATAAAAACAAAATTATGCTAGTAAAATAAAAAAAAAAAAAAATTTGAGTTCGAATTAGTGCCTCAAGAAATAAAATTAAACTAAACTCAATCCCCGGCAACGGCGTCAAAAACTTGTTCGCGAAATATTTCTTTCGATTTAAATTACCGCAAGTGTACGGGTCGTGACAAGTAATAAAGTGGATTTTAGAAGTCCGAGTATGGTCCCACAGAGAAAGAGTAGTTTAATTTTATTTATTTTAGCCTTAACCGAAACTAATTGATTTAAGATGAATTTTAGAATTAAAAGCCCTAATTTTGCGAGAAATCCCCAAATTGAAAAACCCTAATTTTAAATCAAACCCTAATTACTCAAATTCACTTAACGAATGACTCAATTACGAAATATTATGAAAATAAATGAAATGTATTGTCAATTTATGAAAATCTATGTAAAACGAATGCACTAGGATCACGAATCCCCAAATAATTATTAATTAAACTCTAATTTCACAATTTTGATAATCCAATGAGAATTTGACAAATCAATGCTCCTAAATCTATTCAATACTCTCTCTCGAGATGTATTGAACCTATTTTCATAAATCACCAACCTATATTTTTATGACGGATGCAATTATACAAGAACGCATGTAATTTTTTTGTGAGCAATTAAAGATTTACATAGGGTATAGGGGTATATTTCTATCCCCTATCGGACCCTATGATGAATTATATATGTCGAGTTTAATCCAATTTTCTCAAATTCAGAATTAAACCACCAAAATTCACACAAATTAAGTGCACATTAATTGTAGAAATAAAAAAAGCAATATAATTCATTCAAATAATCCCATCGAACTATGAATTCAAAGTCAAATAAAAGATTTAATAAAAATTACATGGTTCATCGATCACCTAGTTGTAGAAATCTAGCCTATCATGATAAAATAACGAAATCTATCAAATTTTGAATAAAATACATCACCGGATTATTAAAACTTAAAGAAATCTTGTAAATTTTCGCATCAATTCTTGTTCTTGCCTTCAAATCCTCTCCAAAATGAATGTTTTCGCCTTCCAATTCGTTCGTGCGGCTTCTGGATGTTTATTTGCTATTTAAACCCGTCGAAATTAGATTACCAAAGGAGTTGCAATCATATAAGGAAACTGCAAAAATCGGGCACAGGTTATACCTATTCGATCGCAAAGGCATAACCTATGCGACCGCATAGGTATATGAAATATGGCGTTTTTAATCCCTGGAGGGTTACTCGCGACCGCATAGGTTTTCTACTATGCGACCACATGGTAGAATAAACTTTTAAATTGAGTCATTTTGATCATCAAGTTTCATTCCTTCACTCCTTGACCTCCTCTCTTATTTCTAGTTATTCCAATATTCCATTATAACTTCCAATTGGTGCTTAGCTTGATCAATTGCTTGATGTGTTCATCGGATCATCTTTCAGATAATTGCAATTTGGTCCCTGAAATTTTATTTTGCTCCAATTTGGTACTTTTTCGGCTCTTTTCTCCTGAATTCCACTATTTTCATAGAATTACCTACATTGCATGAATTTGACAAAATTAAGTAACAATTCAATCATTTTACTTGTATTTAAGTTATGTTTGTGATGTAAATAAGTGTGCGAAAACACACTTATCACCAACAATGAATTTCTTGGCCTATTCTTGGATTATAAGATGTTGGACTCCAACATATTAATCCGTCAAGTGCAAGAATTCTAAGCGATTCTTCACAAAATTCATGTCGAAGGGATGATTTTCAGTGAAACCTTCCAAGTGGTTACAATTATTGAAAAATTGCCCCTTGCATGGAAAGATTTCAAGAATTGTCTTAAGCACAAATGAAAAGAAATGAGCGTCAAAGAACTGATTGCTAGATTTCAAATTGAAGAAGATAACAGAAATTCAAAAAAGAAGGGGTTCAATCCTATTGTGGCTAAAGCCAATGTTGTTGAGCACGGTCAAAGTTCTAAGACTTCAAAGAACAAGTCTAGGACATTTGGTAGCAAAGGTACTAAGTTGGAACTGAAAAGAGGTATTTCTAAAAAGAAATTTCAAGAAAAATACTTCCATTATGACAAAGTAGGCTACAAGTCTTTGGGGTGCAAATTGCCAAAGAAGAATAATAAAGAAGCAAATGTGGTTGACTACATCGCACATGATGTGTCGAAAATGAATCTCGCAACAGTCATTTCTGAAGTGAATATGGTGGGTTCTAACCCAAAAGAGTGGTGGTTGATACCGGTGTTATACGACATCTGTGCTCTGATAAAAAGTTGTTTGTTGCATTCGAAGCAATTGAGAATGAAGAGAAATTGTTCATGAAAAATTCAGCAACTTCTGAAATCAAGAGTCAAGGAAAGGTGGTTCTGAAGATGACCTCGATAAATGAGCTGACTCTTAACAATGTATTGTATGTGCCAAAAATCTACAAGAACCTTGTGTTCGATCGCTTTTGAATAGCATGGTTTTCGTATTGTATTTGAATCAGACAAAGTAATTTTATCAAAAGGTGGAATGTTTGTCGGAAAATGTTATGTTTCCAATAATATGCTTAAACTGAATGTAATGGTTATTAAACCAAAAATGAATAAAGCAAATTATTCTTCTTACTTTCTTGAGTCTTCCAACTTATGACATGGTAGATTAGAACATGTTAATTATGATACTTTATGTAGATTAGTTAACTTGAAATGCATACTCGCATTCCACATTGATTCCCAACCATTTAATCCAACAATTTTTTTTGCTGCTGATATCAAGAAATAACTAACAATCCATTTGGGAAGAATTTATAAATGGCTTAGTCTACAAATATATACAAATTAGTGGTGGATAAGTGGATAGTATTTGAATGTCCACTGAAATATATGGTTGAAAATTACGTTTGACGATTTATGATTTTTGAAACGTTTGAAATTATTCAAATGGAGGTTTAAATTAATCGTACTGCAGATCAACTATGCAAGAAAGGCTGGTTGGATTTATTCTCAGAGCAATTAATTCCTAATGCCATGAAAATGTCATGTTAGTAACTGCTCTGGAAATTGTTCAGAGCTTTAATATTGATATGTGAGCTGGTCAGTTGCTGCCTTTGTAAATGAATATAAATGCAATAGTAGCCCTCAAAACATGTCTTTATCAAATCGTAGGATTTCGGAAAGAGGAAAGTGGTTAACCCAGAGATGAGAGACAAAAGACCTGGGAGAGAATTTTGGAAATCTTAGTTTTGACCTTTCATATAACTTAATTATCTTTAATCGTAGCCCTCAAAACATGTCTTTATCTCATTCATTCCTATATGAATTTCCAACTTGTTAGACCTTGCCTTTAGCTGAATGCCTAGATATTAATGGGTTTTGTACCTTGTCACAAATAACCTGCCAAATGGCTAAATGGGACCCACCTCTCTGACTTGGCAAAATAAAAACCAATAAGAGAGTCAAAGGAATAATTATTGACCCTCTAGAGTACACATACAATTCATGACCTGCCTGGCTCATAGATGTTTAGAATGAACTCCCTGCGCAAGCTGATGCCAAGGCGAAGCAAGCATGATTCTATGGGTAATTCTTTGAAAAATGCCTAATCTCTTATAGGGTACACTCAGAGTTTTATGATGTGACTTGTGTGTTTTCAACAAGTTAAAAGAACCTTCTAGTAATTCACAGGTTGATAGTTTTCTTCATTGATACGTACCTATACTAGTAACCTCAATGCATGAATACCCGCTTGCGGAATGAAAACTTTCTTTACGCTGAAAGACTGACTATTGTTCATTGAACAGAATCACTTGTGTAAACTTAAGAACCGAGTGTGGTCGGCTCTCTATCCACCACCTTGTTGACGATTGACCACACTTACAAGATACCATTTTGTAGACAACAAGCATGTTTCAGTGACTATGCAGGTTAGTGTGAATCTTCAAGCAGATTCCCACTTATCCACTCTGAAATTTCAATATTAGTGAAAATGTGGAACAAGTTCTATTCTTTACGAGCTCGAGGTGATTAATACTGCCAGGACGGGGTGGTGGGTGGGTGAGTGAAGGAACAATCCCCTATGATTTATTGATCATGGAGGTTTTAGCTGGTTGAGACAAATAGGAACTTATCAAAAGTTTATAAAAAAATTGAAAAATAAAGAACAAAGTATAACTATATTTCCAAAAAAAATTTCAAAAAAAGTACAAATAAATTTCAAATAAATAATTAAAAAAAGAATTTTTATTTTTTTTAAAAATCACTTTCTTTTTTTAAATACCCTTAATAAAGGAATAAGAAATTCTGCGTGTCTTCTCCCAAATTGCTATCTATGTCATTGCAACGTGGATAATGCAAAACCAATTATAGATAGTTAAAAGTAAATCCAACAAAGAGAAACACTTCATTAATAGCTAATACACTGCCCATTCAGTTTTGCCGTTCATGACCATGAAAAACAAACTACGTTACAGCAAAGTACATTAGGAAACACACATTACATATACAAGAACATCATCAAGGCTTTTAACCAACGAATGCCAAAAACACGCCCAGAAACAGCGATACCAAGTGACTTGAAGTGATGATATTTAGCAGACAAGCTTTATTTGCAAAGCTACCTCCTGGCGTGTTCGTGGCTAAAACTAAAACAGTCCAATCATCTTCATGTGCCATTCCTACTCCAGTATACCTGGAATTGTTCAGATATCCTGAATTCTGAGACTCCGTGTAATTAGTGAGCACAAGAGGCGCAACCCGATCGGGAACACACACCGGCAGTATTACCCCGTCAGTTGTGGTATTGATGTCTATCTTACATTTCCTTATAAGACTCTGATAGTTGGCTAGCTGCGTATTGGACGCAGTGTTGGACGCACATGGCCGATGCTCCAGTTCATCAGCAATTTCTTCGGCTAGACAATCAGCATTATCGTGCTTTGCGAGAGGTGGAACATTTGCAGATTGTCTGAAGCTATTGATTCCTTGAATTAGATGATCATCTTCGTCTATGGGGATTGAATTAAATGAAGGATATTAATACGTAACTCAAAATACAAGTGCAGAACAGTCAATTCTAAACTTGTTGGAAAAAGTGTGAACCTATAATTTTTCATCCTTCATGCAACTTACAATATGCTTAGCTTTCATGCTTATATTTTCCAAATTTCACGTATCCGAAACATGTCTACAAACATCCCTGCACATAGTGATAACAAACCCCGACCATATGAACAAAGAAAGAACCTAAAATTTAGTTATAAATATGTGAATCTAGATTCCCACATTACAAAAACCAGCAATGTAGGATTCAAAGTATGTTTGGTAGATATTTTAATTCAATTAAAATCAAATTTTTTATCGTTATTTCACTATTTAAGCCATCATTTTTGAATTATTTTTTCACAGATAGGACCCACTTTATCTCTAAAAGTCAAAAAATCAATTAACAAAATCTCTATCAAACAAGAACTCAATGGTAGGACAGTTTTAGTTGAATTGAAAAGAAATGTTAAATGATTTGATGGTTTTGCCCTCCAGCTTTCAAGTCACGGATAATGGGGCATGGATACAGGATAAATAGGTTGAGAATCCTGATTCTCATAACCACAACCACACACCACTTAAAAATGAATAATGCTATCTAGCACGTGCTGAGCACCAGTGTAGGTGTTATGCAAGTGATTGGACATCATAAATATGATTTATTTTCCTACTTTCTAAACCCGTGCTAAATAGCATTACTCCTTAGAAATTGGGGAGCCCAACGGCCCCAACCCTAGGTTTCCTCACTTTTCTATAAATTAATATCGTTTTTTACATAGTGCAAACCATAGAAAGAAGAAAGAAATTCGTAAATAACTTATCAATTGTAACCTCGGTTACTCTGTAGGTCAATATTGCATACAATAAAACAGCAAAAGTAGCAAATTTCTGGGAACATAAGAACTGTAAGCGGGAGAACACCATGAATTAATTTTATTGGATTATACCGTTTTGACAGTTTACATGGAGACTCTCTCTTACTAGTTGTGGATATAATTTTATCATTTTCTTAGTAACAAGTTTCCTTTTCAATTGTTTTATTCGTCATATTCATAAAAAGGATTCACATATTACATCAGTTCAGTTAGGGTTTTGTGTAGTTTTCCCACTAATTTTACCCTTTAGCAGTAAATTCAAAAAATTCTAGAAAATGGGAGTATTAATATAAGAAATCCCAAAAGAGAACAGAAAAGAGAAAATATATTAGTATACACACACATAGAGAGAGCCAAAGAGAGTACCATCCGAATGTACTGGAAGTAATTGCACCAAGAGGATGACATGCAGAAGCAAAACAATAGCAAAACGTATCGAGGAAGACGCCATTGTAGAGACAAGTATGAACCCACAAAAAAATAAGAAAAGAAAAACCAGAATATTGAGAGGCAGAAGAGGTGGCTAATTATAAGTAACTGGTGGGTTCTTATTTCAACAATAATTAAAAAAAAAAGAAAATGGTAGGTTCTGACAATTGTGTTATTTGTGGCTTTACACGTCGCGCACATGCAAACTGCTGCGGCGTTGAGTTCGCAAACTGATCGCCACCCGTTTCTCACTCGATAATTTCAAATCTGGTTATACTATGTACAGTAATGGAGTCAGAAATAAATCGTGAAAGAGTATTCTTTTCAAATGAGTTGACTATATACAAAAGGGGCGGATCTAGACTCCATGTTTAGCTAGGATGTTGACTTTGACTTTGACCGTTGATCGTCGATAATCAACGTTCATGTTAAAATTTGATTAAATAATATTAAAAATTGTTCGATATATATGTAAATGCACTAAAATGTAAATATTATATTCGATAAATATGTGCTTTTTCTAGAGATAGAATGTCAGAAGCATAAGTTTGTTTTTCATGACCTACATACGTTGTTTATCTCAAACTCGAGTTTCATATCATTTGAAATTTTGAAGCAATCAAAAATAATTAATATAAAGATTTAAAACATATGCACAATCACAAGTTTTGCAATACTATAATACAAAATTAAAGTTTCATTAATGACACTAAGCAGCCAATCTTGATTCTTGATAGAGTGTTCAAATTAACTTGGGAAGAATCCACTGAATATCATTGTCTCTACCAAAACACAATGTGTACCAACATCCAATATAATATTTAAATCATAATAGTATGTCTCTAAGTTTAAAAAGATTGCTTGTAAGTAAATAGTAAGACTTAAAATAACTTTTTTATTAATGAAATTTAAAAATAAATTACTATTTTCGTAATAAGGTAGACCTATGTCAAAATAAGTACCAAATAAGTTCTCCCAAACATGCTTAAAATGATTAAGAGACAAAAAAATAGATTCATAATTCAACTTTTCAAAAACTTGAGAACGAACCATCAACATGATTTAATTATCATAAATTGCAGTTGCACTTACACTAGCACAATTGCACAAATCAACAAATAAAATACGTCAAGTTTGTCAAAACAATTTGCAGAGTTACAGTCTTACAGACAAGTGAGACAATTAGACTTGAGACAACTAAAACAATTCAATATTCAACTCTTCAACTTCAAGTATTGAACTTATTAAACTCACCAATCACCAATGCACACTGCTGGCAGCTCGGCCTCGCCAGTCGCCTCCGAGTCTGTGGTCGGTCAGAGATTCGCCCCCTACGACTTCGTACACCGGCGGCACACTGCACACGGTTACCACCTCCAGCTGCAACTGGTGCTACAGCTTTGAATGGAAATTGAAGGGTAACTGGGTGAGGGACCAAGGGTTTGATGTTGCCTTCTGTGCCGTTCTGCAATGGATTTTGGGGGATTTGGGTTTGGGAGAAATACCAATTAAAGCCAATATATCCATGGATCGTTTGAATGGATCCAATTTCCACATTTGGGCCTAATTTTTTTTTTTTAAATAGGCCCAATTTCCGATTACATTAGCCCAAAGGAAAAATAAAAAATCTGGTTGTCTTCTCCAGTTCCTCCGGTCTGCAATTGCTGCGCGCAGGTGCTTGCTGCCAACCCTACGGCTACTGAAGACTCCGGCGGAGCCAGCACACGCGGTCTCGCCCCCTCGCCGAGTGCTGGCTCCGCGCCTGCTATACAAGAAATTTGAAGATGGTTGCGTCTCGAGATTTTTCTAAGCCACATTTTGTTAATGAAAGAAATGGTATTTTGTGAGATAGCAAAAAATGAACCAGCGACGAGGAAAGAAAATTCTATCTAGTACCATGTGAACAAATTAATGAGGTTTACATATTTATACGAGTCAATTAACAATCAATGGAAAGAACACTAAATAATGAAGACGTCAATAAAACTGTAACCAGCAAAATTGGTGGAGAGATTAAGCAATTAAGTTGGCAAAATTGATCATCTTGTGATCTGCGTACTTTCTTTTTTCCTTAAACTCAAATGGAAATTTTCACTAAGAAAGATTGCCGCAAACAAAGGTCGATTAAAAACCTTGATGTACAATGAGTCCAACTAATGGAGTTATTAATGTGAAAAGCAACTCAAAGGTCTAAAACTAATCTCTCTGCACCCAAGCAACTCCACTCTACAGCCATAAATTATCCTCTTTGTGTTTAGTAGGCTATCAAAATGTCTTAAGCATCTCCAATGGAGATGTGGATTGCACCAAAAAGTGTTCCAATCTTCCAAAACAGGATAGCATTATAAATTTATTTTTATTCTTCCTCTACATCCTATCTCTTGTAAAAGTTTGGAATTTCCTTAAACAATAATTTAAGTTGATCAGAATTTAATTTTAACTACACATTTTTTAAGACCTTCAATTACTATCCACTTATTAACTACTCCACTACCAATGCACAACTTAAGCAACTTATAAATAATTCCAAACAAGCACAAAATATTGAAACTACTCATCTTACATTTAATCTAGTTTTTCAATCTCGGATGAAGCAGATTAGTATTTACTCTCACTTTGTCCAAAATCATGTTGCATATAACTCTTTCTTTGTGCCTTCATTTTCTCGAATGATTAGCTAGCTCAAGGACTCTCTTACCAAGCCTCTCTTGCCTGCTAAATTTGTTTAATTGCTGCCAAAGATCGAATCTGCGATGAGAGTTATGTTTTAGGGGGATGTTAAGGATAATGATGCCACCAAGTTGAAGTTTATCTCAAAGAGCATATTAGCTAAGCATTTCTGTTGTAACCTGAACTGTAATCATAAATTAGTATCGTAGTTGTTAGTATAGCGCACCTCCAAGATACTCCCGATGTATAAAGAACATTTAATACATAATAGAGAACATATTTGAATTTGAAGAGGAAATTTTTTTAAAGAGTTGAATAATGCTCTCTATCATGACTCTTCATTTTGAATTTTTAATTAAAAATTTATTGATTTTTGTTGAAGTGCAAACCCCAACCTCAGTAAAACGAATAAATTGTCCCACTAATGATCAATCACTACGGTCAAAAGCAATATCCTTGAGACCGGCTCAGGTTCATGGCCGTCATATTTTTTAGAGACATAATGATGTTTGAAAACCTGCCATCACTGATACACCTTTCACCCTACCAAATCAAGTCATGCCACTTGGACACCCCTTATTCTACCAATCAATCACAAGCAATGATTATGTGATATTACGCCATCATTACTTGATGGTAACAATGTAGTCCAAACAATGATGACCTAATAAAGCTAAACTCAGCACCAATCAAGTCCAAGCTGATATTACGTACATTAAGATCGTTACCATAGCTGATTTAACCTTGAATGGCCAACTTGCTTGTCTTGTGTCAATAAAAAGGAATGCAATGGTCCCCCTTTGAAGACCAAACTCAAGATACTCTCTTCATACACTTTCAAATTGCTTCCATCAATACAAACTGTTCCATTTTACTATTCCAGCAATTTAACTTTTACATTTATAAATTATAAATTAAGTTGACAAAAATCGACAGTAATTTTTTGACGTCGACTGATTTAAAATCAAAAGTTTCTTGAAACTTATTTTTGATGATTCACTAACTAAAAGTCATCTTGTCTAACTTCTTATAAAAAGGGGAACGAAGGACTACTGTTGATGCAAAAGTAAATTAATCCAATTTTACTGTGCATGATGTCATTTTTTTTAATTTTTCATTTTGTTTATGGTCAGAGAAATATTTTTCCACACATCATTCCATAAGTATTAAAATAATAATAATAATAATAATAATAATTTTAATATATATAAATTGTCGTGATTAAAAAAAAAAACTCTGCACAGTGCGGAGAGATGATAAACCATGTGCGTGTCAACTCTCCGCATAGAGCAAAGTATAAATAACAATAAAATAAAATAAAAAAATTCGCACATTGCGAAGAGTTTTGCCATTGTGCCAACTCTCTGCACTTTGCGGAGAGAAGAAAAAAAAACTCACCGCACAATACAGAAAGAGTTAAATCATATGCGGAGTAAAAAAAAAGTGTGGAGAGAAAAAAAATTCTCCGCACAGTGCGGAAAAAGTTGGACCATGTGTTTAGAGTTGGCAAACTCTTCGTACAATGCGGAGGTAAAAAGAAAAAAGAAAAAACTTCTGCACAATGCAGAGACAAACCATGTATAGAGAGTTGGCAAACTCTTCGTATAGTGCAAATCATATAAAAAAAAAAAAAAATTCTCTACACAGTGCAGAGAGGGTTTAATCATGTGCGGAATAAAAAAAATGTAGAGAGAAAAAAAATCTCCGCACAGTGCGGAGAGAGTTGAATCATGTGCGAAGAGTTGGCAAACTCTTCGCACGGTGCAGAATAAAAAAATAATCACTTCGTACAATGCGGAGAGAAAAAAAAACTTTCCACACTGTACAGAGAGAGTTAATCTCTTCGCGCGGTGCGGATAGATTTTCTTTTTTCGGTAATTTTTTTCTTTTTTATCCTTCTCTGCTTTCCCTACTTTTCTCCATTTCTTTACGCAATATCTATTTTGCCTTATTTATTTACACCATTTATCTTTCTTCTCTCTTACAACCCCATTTCTTTTTCTCTCAAATTCCTCTTTCTCAATCAAATTGTAAAATTTTTGTTCAATTCATATTTTATCTCTCGAACACCTTAATATTTTTATTGTTCAAGTCAAACTTTAATATTGTGCTGAAACTCATCGAGAAATCAAGTCGTTCATCCTTTTAGATACTTTGATGAAACTTATTTACTTGTTCAAACTCTAAGTACTAACGTTTGTTCTACAGTCTTATTACAATTTCTCATGAGCTCTACTAGCAAGTTACCAAAATAATGTATCTTAAGCTCATTCATATTTTGCTTCTGGTCAAATTAAATATTTCTTGGATTTGTAAGATTGCTCGATTTTACAATGTACCTAAATTTATACAATATCATACTCTAAAAATGGAGAAAAGAAACAAAAGAGAAAAACATTAAAAAGAAAGAGAAGAAAAAGAGATTAAATTATAACTCAAGATAATTGGAAAGATAAATTTTTTTCTGAAAAGCATAATCTTTACTATGTAAAATTATTCCGCTTATAATTTGCTCAAAATTGAGTAAGAAGTTTTCTAAAGTGATTTACAAAAATTTGTCCAACACATCCCCTTCTTATGACAAGCATAAATACTAGACCATGTTCCATATATCATACAATAACAAAACATATTTTTCTTAATACGCCAACACTATATTTCCCAATTCTCTGCACAACACAAAAATGCAAGGCTTACCTTCGAAGCAAATGGTAACATTTTTCTTAAAAGTTTGTTACTTTATGTTTTTACCTTATATGGCTTATGATAATGTCTGATTGTTAATAGAGGCACATTTTACTACTAATTAATTAATGTTAATCCTTATTGCTTATTCAATAATATTGCGTTACATGAAAAATAATCATAAATTCGACTAGACTACTAGAAATAATGATCTTACTTTTGACCTGACTTCCCTTTCTGACTGAACCGATTGGAAAATCTTCCTCCCTCGACAAAGTAGTTCCGCTTCACTGTCCAGCCAACTGAAATTCTTTCAAGAGAGAGCAATATATAATAAGTCTTTAAACAAGAAAATAATATATACAATATACAAAAACTCTCGTCAAGCTCTAAATCTAATTTCATTGTAATCTCATATACGTAACAATTCTCCACCAAAATTATAATTTATTCACATAAATTCTCAATGTAAAAAATAATATGCATTTATAGGTTAATTATTTTATTACATAATAGGGCATGGTAAAAATGTTGGCCCAAAAAAAGTTTTAGTCCACCCCAAGTGGACACTTTATCTCTACTTGTGGAGAGATCAACTCTCTCCGCACAATGCGAAGAGATAGTCCTTTTTTTATTGGTAATTTTTTTTTCATCTCTGCTTTCTCTACTTTTTTCAGATGTATATTCCTCTTGATGGTTTTTTACCATGGATTTTTGACAAAGGTATCTAAGTTTTTCATCTTTTACCTCAAACCTTAAAAGATTGTTTCTAATATGATTTCTATCTATTTTTCACTTGTATAAAATACAGATCATAATGAATATGTTTACTATTTTCCTCATTTAATCTACTTTATTTAGTCAACAATGCTTTTCATTTGTTAGGATGGATTTAAAATGGGAAAGTTACTGGGAAAAAATTTAGCAATTACATAACCATCCTTCTGTTTTTTTTAAATGCTCGAAAAAATAATTATATAAAAAGAAGACAAGATTGAATCAAAACATTTAGTTTTGAAGAATTAAAAAAAATCAATATTATAAATTTTATACATTTATAACAAATTTATATAACAAATTATAAATTCGTATATGTCCCTTGCTGTATTTGTATGCAGTTTACCGTATATGCTGTCTACCGTATTTGCACCTTACCGCATTTGTAGCTTATCGTATATACTGCCTACCGTATTTGCAGCTTACCACATTTTCATATGCCGATTTTTATACTTATAAATACTGAGAATGTAGAACACTGTACATTTACTTACCAAAACAAATGTCAAAAAAAAATTTTCAAAATTTTATTTTTTCAACATAAGCAGAAAATAAATATTTAAATATATGAAACACAAAATATAAATGCATATAAATATGCAAGTCGATTTATAACTTTGTGCTCAATCTTCAATTTTTCAATATTGAATTACACAAAATTTAGAAATATAATATTCACACGCAACTCAATCATATCAACACTGTCAAAGCATTTAGGCAAAATAATTTGTATAACATCGTATATTTCTTATTCAAGTATAAAATATACAAGCATATTTTTTGTAGATGACACAATATTGTTTGGCAATTGTAAAAATAATTTGCAATTATTTTTTTATATCATTAAAATATTTCTAGATATTGTTTCAAAAACATTCCAAAAAACTAAAATTCATATACTAATAAAAATACGATAAATATAAAATTCGTGCAACGCACTTAGACAATTCTCTTGAAGACACTCTTATTGACTTGTTGTATCACTTGTCATTAATGGTTAAATCATCTTATCACTTTTGTGTAAGCTATAAATAATTGTAAAACAACCAATTTCTAATATAGAATATTCTTCATATCTACATAGGACTCAATATGTGCTTATTTGGCACCCGTTTCTAATTGATCAAATCACTTTTATTCACACATCTTATGAGACCCATAATAGTATCTACTTATTCATTACTCATTTTTATATATTTATAATTCTATTATATATACAAACTCTCAAACATGTTTTAACTCACTTTTTCTTTAAATTATCAAATTTTACTACAAACATGGCTAACCCCTATTCGACAACCATTAAAATAAGGATTATGCTAGATGTACCTAATTTTTTTACCTAATGCTTTACATACACTCACAATAGGGGTGTGGGGACCATATGTTGAGATTATTTTATTCATGCGGGGTTCACGTGTTTGTGAGAGTAGGTAAACCAAATTATGTACACTTAGAATTATTCTTAAAATAAATTTTTTTTTTTTAAGAAAATGAGTTTGGAATAGTGATTGTTGGAGAATGTTTAAATAAAAAAGAAAAATAAATAAATAAATAAATAATATATATATATATATATAAATTTTTTAACCACACATTTCCAAAACTTCTATCACAATCTATATATATATATATATATATATATATATATAATGAATTTAGTTGAAAAATATTTTATTGTAAAAATATGTAATTAAAAATAAGTTTAAAAAAAGGGATTTTGTTTTAATTGTCGTCAAACATAGGCTAAGCATCAAAAGGTGTTTGAACTTTGAACATTATACCATTGCCGATCCTATCGGCACACCACGGCTCATGCAAATCTAGTCCCGAGTCATGACGTCCGTTTCAACAGCCTTGTCCGCCGCATGCGCCTTTAGCTAACAAACACGTAGACTCCGCCTCCAGCCACGTTCTTACATGCATTCATTCTTTTACGCTTCACAGACTCCCTCAAACACCCCTATAACTATCCACCACCAACAAATTCCTCGATTTCCAGAGTGTTAGCCACCGCTGCTAGATTCCAATTTAGCTACACAATAAACCCAGTTTTCTACAAATTCTACAGTAAACCTTTAAGATTAGTACTGTTTGTAAGATCAATGGCATCTGGTGGTCAGGAATTCCCACCACAGAAGCAAGAAACTCAGCCTGGAAAAGAGCATGCCATGAACCCAACTCCACAGGCTACTAACGAAGAATATAAGCCCGCTAACAAGCTTCAAGTTAGTACATTGGGCGTAGTAAACTTGTCATTTTTTATTAAGCATACAAAATTTATCATATTTGAATTTTGATTCACTTTGTGCAATGTGCAGGGTAGAGTGGCGCTAGTCACAGGTGGTGATTCAGGCATTGGGCGAGCCGTATGCCACTGCTTCGCTCTAGAGGGTGCGACGGTGGCTTTTACGTATGTGAAGGGTCATGAGGAAAGAGATGCAAAGGATACCCTTGGCATGTTGATGAAAGCTAAACATGCTGATGCAAAAGACCCGATGGCAATACCAGCAGATCTCGGGTATGATGAGAATTGCATTAGAGTTGTTGAAGAAGTGGTGAAGAACTATGGAAGAATTGATATTCTTGTTAACAATGCTGCTGAACAACACGAGGCAAACTCCATTGAAGAGATTGATGAATCGAGGCTTGAAAGGGTGTTTAGAACCAATATTTTTTCTTACTTCTTCATGGCTAGGTAAGTTGTTGATGATATGATTAGGCATTGATTAGATTGAATTGCTTGTTGGAGCTTAATGAATTCTAGTACCATATTAGTTCCATCTTAAAACATCAACATTAATAAGAGGAGTGCTTATGAATTGGTTTATATTTATATCTTTATTTGATGCAGAATTTTATCCCCTAACACATTGTCTACCTATACTGCATACTGAACATGATATACATATTTGGTCGCAGGCATGCTTTGAAACATATGAAGGAAGGGAGTTCCATAATCAACACAACATCAGTGAATGCATACAAAGGACATGCTAAGTTACTCGACTACACATCGACGAAAGGCGCGATCGTGGCGTTCACTAGAGCACTTGCGTTACAGCTTGTGAACAAAGGAGTACGCGTAAATGGTGTGGCACCAGGTCCTATTTGGACCCCTCTTATTCCAGCTTCTTTCACTGAAGAAGAGACCGTGAATTTTGGAAAACAAGTGCCAATGCAGAGGGCAGGGCAACCTATAGAGGTTGCTCCATCGTATGTGTTTCTTGCTTGCAATGTGGACTCCTCTTATATAACTGGCCAAGTCCTTCATCCCAATGGTGGAACCATAGTCAATGCTTAATTAAGCTTTTGGATCAGCCAATGTAATTTTGGTGGGTTGGTTAGTTGTTGTTAAATAGAATTAATTATTAATAGGATGGTCTTCTAATAATCCATGTCGACCAGTACAAGGTCACACATTTTATGAACATGACCTCTAACAGAGGCACAAAATTAATAAGATCTCCATTACATTTGATTATAAAATAATTTGGTTAAGAGGGAGTATTCTGGTATCTTAAGTTGTATTCTGGTATCTTAATTGTAACTTTGAAAGTGTTTTAAATGATTATAATTTATGGATCTTATAAATTATGTGTTATAGAAGTATATTAGTCCAATTTTTATTTTTATTTTTATTTTTTCAAAAAAAAAAAAAAAGGCTTTTACCAACATGCACCAAATATGAGAGTAAAGTTTGTTCATCGATTTTTATTCTTCTTGACACGTAACACCTACATTTAGTCAAATAGTAGTTATTATTACTTGGGTACTATTATCAATATATTGAAAAATTGGGTTAAAACTAGTGGAGTCGGTGCATCTTCAATGCAAACAAATTAAAAATTATTGGATGCATGGAGTCTGAGAGCATCTTCAATGCATTCCACACAATACAGTTTGTGGCATGCAAAATTTTAAAACTCGTCCAATAACTACAAGAGAAGAACACTATTAACTACAAAAAATTCACTAATACAATATTTAGAATCACCGACATTAAAATATAGATTTAGGTGACATTAATGTGACATTAAATGAAGGAATGAGCCGCTTAATTATGTCTTTCGTTGGCCAATCATATAATACCACTGAGACTGATGTACTATTGCTAATGTTGCTACATAACATTATTTTACTTGGCCCGATTTGTTGTAGATTAAAATTTACTAAAAATCTCAAGTTTAAGTCAATAATTAATTTTCATATTTGGTATTGATTTAAATTAAATTTTAATTTAAGTCAAAATCAAACAATCAATATTAATCATATATTTTATGGATTCTACAACTTTTCAATCATACATTTCAAACAAATTTATGAAAATCTACTAAAAATCTAATGGGCTAAAAGTTTGATTTTAATATGATATAATTCAAAAACCTCTCGAAAATTTGAAGGTTTAGCCATGAGATGGGCAGCCAATTGTTCATTCAAATGTCGTCCCAATTCCTGACGTCCATTTGAACCGACGTGTCCCCAGCATACGTCCTAAGCTAACACGTACACTCGGCTCTTGCCACGTTCTTAATTCATCCATTGCTATCTCCCGCAAACACATGCTATACATATCCATACATTGTTCTTTGTATAGCTATCTATGTAACCATTTTCTGTACAAGAATGACATGCTCTCTCGATTTCTCTCTGGTTCGAGAGTGTTAACCATCACTGCTAGATACCATTTTCCTACTCAGAAAACCCAGTTATCTACAAATTTTACAGTAACCCACAATTCACTGAGAAGAGTGCTATTGACTGTGAGATCAATGGCTTCAGGTGATCAGAAATTCCCACCACAGAAGCAGGACGCTCAGCCTGGGAGACAGTATGTCATGGACCCAACTCCCAAGGATGCTACTGAAGATTATAAGCCTGCTAACAAGCTTGAAGTATGTACATTTTCCAATTATCAAAACTTGTCATGTTCAATTGGGCATACAAGATTTTTCATTCCTGGTTCACTATGCAGGGTAAAGTGGCGCTTGTGACAGGTGGTGATTCGGGAATTGGTCGAGCAGTGTGCCATTGCTTCGCGCTAGAGGGTGCAACGGTGGCTTTTACATATGTGAAGGGTCAAGAGGACAAAGATGCAGTGGATACCCTTGAAATGTTGAAGAAAGCAAAACATCCTGATGCGAAAGACCCATTAGCACTACCAGCAGATCTGGGGTACGACGGGATTTGCAAAAGAACTGTTGAAGAAGTGGTGAATAACTATGGCAGAATCGATATTCTGGTAAACAATGCTGCTGAGCAATACGAAGCAAACTCAGTCGAACAGATCGATGAACCGAGGCTTCTCAGGGTGTTTAGAACCAATATTTTTTCTTACTTCTTTATGGTTAGGTAAGTTATTGGACATATAAATTGTCATATAATCGGAATTGGTCTCCAATGCTTAGTATATTCTGAGCACCAGTGACATGATACACAACAATATGAGGTGTAATCAATCGGAATTGGTCTCCAAAGCATCAGTGATATGGCACACTACGTGTAATTAGTTTTATAATTCATCATTATCTTCCACCCCATATTGTAGTGTGTCATGTCATCTAGTGCTTACCATAAGTTTTTATCCGAAGTATCAATACTTAGGAGGTTAGTCCTGTCGGTATAATATTGCGTATTGAATGCTTATCCTAAGCATCAGTGAAGTCATTCCTATCGGTATAATACTGAGTACTGAAAGCTTATCCTAAGTATCAGTGCTTAGGAGATTGGACCTCTCGGTGTAATACTACGTGCTGAACATGGTTGCGTTGCAGGCATGCTTTGAAACATATGAAGGAAGGGAGTTCCATAATCAACACAACATCAGTGAATGCATACAAAGGAAATGCTAAGTTACTCGACTACACATCGACAAAGGGGGCGATTGTGGCGTTCACCAGAGGACTTGCATTACAGCTTGTGAACAAGGGAATACGCGTAAATGGGGTGGCGCCTGGTCCAATTTGGACACCTCTAATTCCAGCTTCTTTCACTGAAGAAAAGACTGCTAATTTCGGAAAGCAAGTGCCAATGCAGAGAGCTGGGCAGCCAATAGAGGTTGCTCCATCGTATGTGTTTCTTGCTTCAAATGCGGACTCCTCTTATATGACCGGCCAAGTCCTTCATCCCAATGGTGGAACCATAGTCAATGGATAATTGACCTTCTGAGTGAGAACTTTGATGGGGTTTTTTGTTTTTGTTAATAGTCTTCAAGTCTTTTATCTTTTGTCGTACGATTGAGTTTGTTTCCATATGTTAAGATATGATGTTAATGTTGTAATTTGCTGAATAAATTGTCTGTTAACATTGCCTGAATTTTTTTATCTTTTACTAAATTTATGAACTTTTTATAACACCACATTTTATGGAATCTATAAATTTAAAATTTTATTAAATTTTTAACTTATATGTTTCATCGACTCTTATTAAAATATTTTAAAGTTTTACCAAAAAAACTCCATAATATGGAACCCTATTGATTATGGATTATCTCCCACGTGGTCGACGTGTAAACATGCAAAGTGTCGTCTTTCTTACACGGATCTTTCTCCACACAAAATGTATGATATGGTCTCTTTATTATATTTTCCTCTAATGCATACTTTTTTTTTCTTTAAAGGAAAAAACATAATTAAAAACAAAGTAAAACCTTAGGCACTAAGCTTTCAATTCATAAAATTTGGAAATAAAATTAAATAATTCCTTTGCTTTTCGTGAATAACTTACTTTTTTTGTTCACATACTATGATTATGGAATTAACCTTTCAATTCTTGCTTAAATTTTAGAATTATTTATTTATATTTTAAGATTCTTTAAATAATGATTAATTTTATAATATCTAAAGCTATTTAGAATTATTTATTTATATTTGAGATTCTTTAAATCACTGGCGGATCTACCCATGGTCCTAGTGGGTCAAGTGACCCAACTTTCAAGATTTTTTTTTTTTTTTTTGAGCCAAAAATCAAATTTTGGTAGTAACGGTAGTTAGGCTTTTTTATTATAATAGAGTTATAGCAATAACTGAATAATTGAAAGAGTGAGAGTTGAGATTATTTTGTCATTTGTGATATTTAATTTGAAAATTGTTATTCATCATAAATTCAAGATTTGTTGGAATTCTTTGAGAATTGTTATTTATCATATACATGAGATTTGTGCATTTATGACAATGATCACTTGTATCTGTTCATGTAGTATATATAAATTTTTAATAAATTCATTCGTGTTTCACTCATTTTAAATGTCTTTGTCTGTCATTGCTTTAAATGATGATTAGTTTCATAATATCTATTTTTTCCTTGCGTTGAAAAGTATGCAAGGAATTTGAAGAGAGAGAGAGAGAGAGAGAGAGAGTAGTGAATATACCAAAAAGCTAAAGCTTCGAGTTTGTTCTCTAGACTCTAAAAGAGAAATAAGATAAAGAGATGCTTATAGAATAGAATATATTTTATTGCCTAATTCCAACGAGGCATAACCTTCATGACTAAGATTTCAACTTTAGAAAATACCAATGCGAATGCCAATGTCAATGTCACACCACTAAGTAATCTTACTAAATCAAGGACCTATTTCTTAGGATTTCTTTTAATAGAAATAACTTTATGAAGAAGTTAGCTTATATCATATTTTTCAAAAGTGTATAGGTATGAAATTTTGTGCCTATTTGATAGGAATTTTGATAATTAATTTTTTAACTGTTGGAGATAAAGTGAGTCTTATTTATGAGAAAAAAATTTAAAAATGACGACTGAAATAATAAAATAATGATCAAAAAATAGTTTTAATTGACTTAAAAATTTTACCAAACAGGCACTTATATAGAAAGAAAATAAGTTTTAGATAATTGAATTATTTAAAATTTATTTATATGAAAATTGTCAATTAAATATATTTGATTGACTTAATTTTCAATCTAGAAAATATTATATTATTTTTATAAAGATGAGTTTTTGGAAGTATGAATTACCTGAAAAATAAAAACATACTCCATAAAGAAAATAATTTTCTTATTTTTGAGAAAAATATGATCATGTAACCACCTTCTGAAAAATATTTTTCATGCAAAAAAGTCAATTAAACACTTCAAAAGTAGAAATTTGTCTTAAAATGACGTCTTTCATGAATAAAAAATAATAATAATAAACCATGTTGGATAATAATAATAATAATAAATATTGGATAAATTCATAGGCGCCACATATTCACAACTTTTAATTTGAGGCACTCAAAATATATATATATATATATATATATATATA